CATGCCTTATTGCCATGATCTGGTGTCAACCTGATATACGTGTGCTTAGAAAACTGTCTATTGTTATGTATAGGTTTATCTGCATTGTATAGGCAAAGTTTAAAGTGTAGAATTAGAGGGATGAGATAGATTTGGCACAGTGACTATGGCAATTGAATCAAATGTGTCAGAGACAGTCAGATTGACTCAGGATGGGGCAAGATTCAGAGCCATTGTTCATAGGGTCACTAAGGGTCATAGTCAACTTGATAACATTTGAAAAACAACAACATGAGACGTCCCGTGAGAAAGAAAATTATTCTGATTCATGGTACTAGAAATGGAGTGTATCACGCTTCGGCTACTAAGAACCCTGGTGAAGTGTTCCAGGAAAGGTCTTACAGGCATGTGCTCAAGGACTTGGGTTCCTGCCTTGATGAGTTTGTGGACCAGGTGTGAAACAGAAGAACCTCTCTGATTTCAAGACTTTCCAAAGTATGGTTTTAACAATAGCTTAGAAAAACTGACCGAAAAGGTCAAGTTCTTTGTAGCAAAATTTGTTTCCACCAGTTTCAAATCCTTTGTCTTCTTTACCCACCCAGTTTCTTGATTGATTAATAATACTATAAACAATTAAGGTCTGAAAAATTTGGAAGCAAATCCTATATGAGATGCTGTCTATAGTGATTTCATCAAGGGGCTTACGCACAGCAGAGATTGTAAGGATGACACAGGATTGGACAAGGCTCTGATCCTTTGTACATAGGGTCACTGTGAGTTGATGTTTGGTTGATGGCCCCTCACACCCTCTGTCAGTTTGTCATACTGTACTGTGATGCTGGATATTATGTCATCATTATTCCAAATACAAGCAGAGTCACTGGTGGTATTGATTCCAGCCTCACAGGCCATCATGGTCCAGCAGACAGAGGGACGATGGTCCTCATTTAATAATCCCTTATTTAATAAGCTTTAATACAATCAAAGAGGACTGTGACGTTTCATTCTAAGCATTCCCAAAGTTGATGGATACTAACTGCCAGGGCATTTTGGGTTTGAAAGGACTTTAAGTTGGAATCCAAAGCACAAAGGACTTGTGGTGTCTTTCACTGCAGACCTAGGGTGCTGGTGGTTAAGAGACAGGCCTCCTGTTTAAAGTCTTTGTGCTGGTAGCCATGATTCTCAGACCAGAAGAGCGCTGTCCCCATGTGACTTTGGGAACATGTAGGGACATTTTGCATCATGATAACTGGAGTATATTGGCAATTGCAATGAAAGTCAGGGCTACATAACATCATGTGATGCAGGGCTCACAACAAAGAAATTCCGCACTCAGAATGCTTCTGTCAACCATTATACTAGTTGTTATTGTTTATACTACTAGGGCTTCCAATACTCTATACTGTTTCTCCATGAGAGATTTAAGACGTGTGTAAGACAACTTTGCATGTGGTTATAGTAGTTTCTTGAGTGTTTTTATGAAAAAATGGATTGATTTTCCTCTTTTGGGGGCTAAATAATTAATTGAAATTGTTTGCTTTTATCATCCTTAAAAAAATATCTTCAAAATATGTTCCACTAGTCTTTAAAGTTTTATCACCCTAATTTCACTACAGCTAACTAGTTAACTGGAATTGTTATTATTAGCCAAGTTTCCTCTCAAGACGCTATGACGTGCAGCGCCATTTTTATTATAGCCCAAAGTGCAGTGTGGGTCTTACTATGTCGGAGAAGGTGAGGATGACACAAGATAGAAAGGTAGGGCAGTTTTCAGTCCTGTTGTTCATAGGATCACTATGGCAGCAGACATCTAAATGGGAACATAATATTATGATGCAAACATAGCTTTACCTCCAGCAACTCTGAATCCCAGAGATGCCAGTTTAGAGGAAGACTTTTTAAAGCCAGCTTGCCTTAGCCAAGGTGATTGCTGTTATGTACCCCAAAGTTGAAAACAATCCATAGCTTACCCTCCAGCAGACTGTTTGAGTCAGTTAATCACATGGAAGGAGACTGCCCCCCTTTCTCCCAAAAAGCAGCTGGTGGGACTGAATGCATGCTTTTTGGTTGACAGCTCCTTACTACTAGGCCACGGAACTCTGAAAGCTAATACACTAGGCTATTATTAAAAAGGTGGGTGTTCAAGACCACACAGAAGTTCCTTAGAAGGAAGACCTGGTAAGCTACTTTCAAAAAATCAGCACCTGAATACTTGGTGCCACATGTTTCTCCTGTAATGCACATGGGGTCACAGTATATTGGAATTGATCCAAAAGCAACTGATTTCAAGAACACCTCAGTTAATTGGTACTAACCACTCATCAGTGAAATACAGAGACGTTTGCTTTCATATGTCATTCCACTAGTTATAATCTTGGAAACCCTTCAGAGCATTCTACTCTGTTTTTCAGAGTCATTATGAACTGTAATCAGCTCAATCACAATGAATTTTTGGTATCATTTAAAATTCAAGCCCTTGAGCATACTCATGGTGACCTATAGACAGAGTAGAACTGTCGAAGACTGTACTCTTCTTTGAAGCTGACTGCCTCATCTTTCTTTCTAGACTTTGCAGTCTGCTCCCAGAAAGATTAAAATCTAGGAAACCACACGGAATAGCAGCAGTTCTACTCTTTCACAAAGAGTTGCTATTGTTGTTATTGTTATTGTTATTGTTGTGTGCCATTGAGTCAGAACCAACCCATCACTGACCCTCCAGTGGGTTTTCAGAGGCAGTAAATCACGCGAGAGGAGATTGCCTATTCTGCTCTCTTGGAGCAACTGGTGGATTTGAACCACAAGCCTTTGGGATAGCAATGTAGTGGAATTGACTCAACTTGATGGCACCCAATAACAATCATTTAAAAAGTAAAACAATCACTTAAAAATAAACAAAAAGTGACTTATATCTCTAAACAAAAAAGCAGTAAAAGGGGGGTACATGCAAGTATAGGGAATGTGATTCTTTACTAAAAATAACCAATTTTAAAAAGCATAATAAGACAGAAATTAAAGTCATTGAAATGTCATCTATTTATATACTCTCCTTTTTTTTTTTTTTCCTCAACTTGGCCTTTCAGATTTTCTGTTATCCCAGGGCTGCTTAGTGTCTCCTCATTGTCTATTATGCCTTCCTGGATCCTTAATAGGACCTGCTCACTTAAGCCCTCATGAATTTATAAGATAGAGTAGTAAGTGAGAAGTTGTTATTGTTGTTGTTGTTGTTATGTGCTGTTGAGTTGCTTGTGACTCACAGCGACCCTAAGTACAAGAGCAACACGTCAACAGAGAACTGCCAGATATGCAGTCTAGGTTTAGAAGAGGCTGTGGTACTAGGGATATTATAGCTAATGTTAGATGAATCTTGACAGAAAGCAGAAAGTATCAGAGGACAAGTGAGAAGAGAGCCCTCTCTTTATTCTGCATCAAATTTGGCCACGTCTTCAAAGAAATTTTTTTTTTTTACAACTTAGGAGTATCCTTGCTAGTGGTATTGGGAGAACCCAGAGATTTTTGCTAAACATTTGTTCTGATCATTCAGTGCTGCCAGAAGAATTTGTGTCTCATCCTCTTCAATCAGTGAGGAAATAAGTGTTAATGCTTCCTTCCTGTGAAGTACTGTAAGAGGAGATTTGGGGAAATGTTTGTGCGAACTGTCGTTAAGTGAGGCACACTACAGGAGGTCCGTTAGGTACAGGGAGCTCTGGTGGCTTAGTGGTATAATGTGGTGTGCTACCAACCCAAAGGCACACAGTTCGGATCTGCCAGCTGCTCCCAGGAGACAGACAGTCTCTTCCTAATAATTTACAGTCTCTGAAAACTCCTTAAAATCAGCTATGAGTCGGTTCCAACTCATGGTACAAATTAACAACAAAGTATTGCTCGTTATTGTCATTAGGTGCCGTCAGGTCAGCTATAACTCATAGCGACTCTGCACAGTAGCTCTGCTCTATTCTGAGCCAATCTCACTGTCTCCGATGCCCCTTCTGTCATTACCCCAATTATTGTACCAGGCCATCGCATCCAGGGCCTTCTTCTCCTGCACTGTCCCTCGACCCTTCCAAGCATAATATCCTTCTCCAAAGGCTGATCCCCCTCCAGGCTACATGCTCAAAGTGTGTGAGATGGAACTTCAAAAACCTTGCCTCCCGGGAGCAGCTTGCTTGGTTTCACCTTCTCCAGGGCAGACCTGTTTGTTCTCTTTGCAGTCCATGGTATGTTCAATACCCTTCTCCAGCACCACACCTCAAAAGTATCAATTCTTCTTTTGTCGTCATTGGTCATTGTCTAGCTCTCTGATGTATAGCAAGTAATTGTGAAGATTATGACCTGGATCAAGAGCACCTTATCCTTTTGATGGACGTCTTTGCTCTTCAGCACTCTGAAGAAGTCCCTGACAGCAGATTTTCCTAATTCATCTTTTATATTAGCTACAGATTAACAAGATATTAGTTACAGATAAAAATACAATTCAGGCATTACCAATTATGTGACAAGCTGAGCTAAGAGTGACTGTGAGTGCATGAACTGGGCCTAGCCGTGGGTGTTCATAGCACTAGTCTGCAGTTAACACATTCAACAGCTAACCAAAAAGTCAGAGGTTTGATACCACTCAGAAGTACTTTGGAAGAAAGGCCTTGTCAGCTGCTTCAGGGAAATCAGGCATTGAATTGAAAACACTGTGGTCCACAACTTTACTCTGACACATGTGGGATCATATTGACAGCAACCGCTTGGGTTTTGCCTTTTTCTGCCACTCTGCCCCCAAGTCTGCATTATTTCCCATCTTTGCTTTTTCTATCCCTGTGACAATGCAGGATTGCTCACGCACAAGGTACACTTGCTGCTTACTTCACTGGGCAGCTGCCTCCCCAAACTGAACAATCTCTAGAAAAACAGGAATGCCATTTTGTGTATCGTTGTTGCAGGGCAGGCACGACCAATAAACAGATGCTACACTAATTAATGGGACAAATATCGGGCTTTCCTTTTGTTTTTGTTTCACGTTTGTTTTCTTTTAGTTGCAGAATTAAGGAAAATCTTTGAGCCAAAGAATAACGAATTTGTAGACATGAAGAGGTAAGCTCTTTTCATGGTGCCTGAGGGAGGTTGGCTAAACAGTATCCCGTTTTCCTTTGAATGGACTTGTGTTGATTCATTGCACTCTTTCGATGTCTTGCGCAGAAAAGAACGAATCGCCAGGCGTTTGGAAGGGATTGAAAATGACGCCCAGCCCATCCTCTTGCAGAGCTGCACGGGGTTAGTGACTCATCGGCTGCTGGAGGAAGACACACCCAGATACATGCGTGCCACCGATCCATCCAGCCCACACATTGGTGAGCATTTGTGCGCCCCGGAAGCCAGTCGTGCTAGCTGTGCCTGTCCTGATGCATACGCCTATTTTATCTGGTGGTGTAATAAGAGAGCTGCCAAAGACAATTGTCTAGATACAGTTTCTAGAAAGACATCTTTTTAAAATAGCAATAACAAAACCCATGTCCACCCCACCCTGCTTCACAGATATGATCCCTCTCTGTTACAGTAGTGAAAAATGATTCCGAATCCTCTGGCACATTGTTGGGAAATTGATAACCAGTCTTTGCTCATTCTATGCTCGAATGTTCTCAAGGGGAGAAACTGTGTCTTTTCACACCCTGAGGATAAACTATCAGAGATTCTCAGTAAATGGTGAAAGTAGGAATGGAATATGTAGTAAGGAGTTGCACTGCCAGCACAAAAGTACTTGGTTCAAATTTCCCAGCTGCTTCACTGAGGAAAGATGGACAGTCTCCTTCCTTGCGATATACTGCCTCTGAAAACCTGCTGGACCTATGGGTCAGTTGGGACTAAATAGGACAAAACAACAGCAGTTCTCATTTAGGGAGGTGTGTTGGCTTAGTGGCAAGGAGTTGAGTTGCCAACTCAAAGGCACAAAGTTCAAATTCACCAACTGCTTCACAGAAGAGAGATGGGCTATCTTCTCCAGTGTGATTAAACTGCCTCTCAAAATGCACTGGAGGGTCAACTATGAGTCTGTTCCAACTGAGCGGTTTGTAACAGCAGTAACAGTTCTCACGTGGGGTGCTCTAGTGGCCTATTGAGTAAGGACTTGTGCCGCCAACGCAAAGACAAGAGATTCAGGTGCACAGTTTGCTCCATGGGAGAAAGATGAACGATGTCCTCTGAAAACCCGTTGGAGAGTCAGCTATGAGTCAGTTTCATTTGATGGCAGGGTGCTGCTAACCCAAAGGCTTCACATCTCAGGTGGTTCAGCTGCATAGGAGAAAGATAACCAGTCTCCTCCCTTAGTGATTTACAGCCTCAGGAACCTAATGGAAAGTTGCTTTGCATAGGAGCTATCTCTATGGTCCCATGTTGTGTTTTTTTCCCTCATTTTAGTCTTCCTGTAATGCACCAATGTTCTGCTCGAAGGCAGGGTGAGGGCATGCTTAGCAGGGAGCTTATGGACAAAACTAGGCTGTGAACAATTACTCTATTTAAGGTTCTATTTAAATTCATTTAATGTATATCATTTCAAATCTACTACATCTTTGTTTTATTTTAGATAGTATGTTGAACTCTTTCTTGATGGACAATGGTCATCAAGGACATGGGATTGTGGGGACATTCATTGAATAGCTTTCTAATTTCTTTCTTAGAAAAAGGATGTTGAGCTTATTGTATTATGTTTATTTCAACCTTTTCTAATTTTCAGTAGCCAGGAAGCTAGATATGAGTAATCAAGAATTGACAGGTCAGAGTGCCAACATTTAACATGCAGAAATAAATCATAGTGTGAATAAAATGTTAATCTATATAACATATGTGTTGAGTATCAGATAATAGTTAAAAACGGGGAAATTGCTTAGCATGGGATTAGGGAAGAGTCACGTGTCTATTTTCACTTCATACCAAAGATAGTCATGGGAAAAAAAACCAAATAAGCCTCAAACTCATTGCACTGGAATGAGAACTGACTCATAGCTGACCCTCCAGTAGGTTTTCAGAGGCTGTAAATCACAGGGGAGGAGAGTGCCCGTCTTTCTCCTTCAGAACTGCTAGTGGATTCAAACTTCCCGAGAGACTTAGGTTAGCAGTGCAACTTCTTATGGACCACGTCACCAATTATCACTTACCATAAGAAAAAAAATTAAAATCATGAAAACATAGATGACTTTTCAAGGTTGGACAGAAAAGAATTATTAGAGTTCAGAGCAGTGAAAGAAATCACAAATGACTTAAGTGAGTTGATTTGACCACCTTGGAATCTATACTTCAAAGAAAACTATGAGCAAGACACAACATTTACACTGACCAGTACAAATAACTGAATCAATGGAATACGAGGGAGTAAGCTTGATCAGGTATTCCAGAGAGGAGAAAAAGTAATGCGAATGGCTAATGAAGCAATGGAAAGGAAGTGTATATCTGCCTTTTTAATAATCAAAGGCAGATATTTTTACATTAATACTTTATACTTATAAGAGAACATATAGTACGGGTACAAATATAAATTGATACTTTTTAGGAATTAATTTGACCATGTGGAAGTGACCTATTCTTTGATAAAGCAATTGTGCATTTTTAAGTCTATCTATTGTGACATAAGTCAGAAAATCAGTTTAATTTAAACTTAGAAACAATTTCCATTTCCAGCTGTCTGGAAAGGTTTAAATGTTTCATGGCACACCAACAGTCAGGAATTCAAAAGATGAATTGCATTGAGAAAATCTGATGTCGGGAACCTCTCCAGAGTGCTAAAGAGCAATGCTGTGAGTCTAGAGACTAAAGTGGGCCTGGTCCAGGCCATGGTCTTTGTGATTACTTGTTATGCATCAGAGAGCTGGACAATGATAAAGGGTGACAAAAAGAATCAATGCCTTTGAGTTGTGGTGCTGGAGAGGAGTATTGAATATACCATGGACTGCTAAGAGAATAAACAAATCTGTCCTAGAGAGGGTAAAACCAGGCTGCTTCTTGAAGCCAGAATCAAGGATTTTGAAGCGCTGTCTAATGTATTTTGGTCATGTTGCAAATAGGGCTCAGTTCTTAGAGAGGGGCATCATGCTTGGGAAGGTGGAGGAACATTGCACAAGAGGAAGACCTTGGATGAAATAGATTGACTCAGTGACTGGGGTGATGGAGTTAGGTGTGTCAGAGATGATAAAATTGGCCCAGGATAGAGCAGGGTTCAGAGCTGTTGTACATAGGGTTGCTATGAGTTGGAGTTGACCCAGTGGCACATAAAAACAACAACAATACTGTGACATAAATCAGAAAATCAGACTAATTTAAACTAATTTAGGAACAATTTCAATTACCAGCAGTCTGGGAAGGTTTAGATGACTGACAGCATGCCTTTCGGATAGAATAGTATAAAGCCTAAAAAATGTTGGTTTGAAAATGAAAATTTCTAAGTTCAGGAAACTCACTGAAAGTCAGAGTCATTGCTGTGGAGTTAGAACTGACTCATAGCTGACTTTCCACGGTTTTCTGAGAGTGTAAATGACATGAGAGGAGATTTTGCATTTTTTTTCTCCCTTGGAGCTGCTGGTGGATTCAAAGCACCAAAGAGAGGGGTGGACTTGGGGTTAGCATAATACTTGAGTTTGTGTAATATTATACATACACAAAAGAAATTAACTCTGTGAAAGAATTGTTGTTGTCATGTGCCGTCGAGTCACAGGTGACTCATAGTGACCCTATGAAGGAGAGTCCTCGACGCTTGGGTGCCTTTCATCCTCTCTCCAGGTTCATAGGGTTTCTGGAGGCAAGCTATTATGGAAGTGGATGCCACTCCTCCTTCCAAGCTTGTTTTAATCGGGGAGCTCCGCCCCACTCTGTCCTCATCGCATAGCTGACCATTAACGCATTTGACACATCAGTGTCACAGGTAAAAGAATAGAAGAAGCATAAAAAAATGTTTGGTAAGTTATCAGGATGTAGTGTGGTTAATGGGGTTTGATTCTTTTACCTTTGTGAATTTCATGCCTGAGACATTTTTGCACATTAAGCACATGCGTGCTGTGCTTTGGAAAAGCCACTTCTGCAGAAAGCTTGGTGACTTGGTGTGGGCTGTATTGTTATGGTATGTATTGATACTTTGCAACAACAGTCAGTCATTTGTCAAATTACAGGAGTCTGAATATTTTGTCTTTTCTAGAGGATTCTGACCTTGTCGTCTGACCTCCTATGTGAAATATTAAACTAAAAAACAAACCAAAAGGAAAAAAGTAAATACATAAAAGGGAAAAGATGGGGCCCTGAGGCACCCTGGGGAATGAAGGGCTGGACTCTGGTTTAGTCCCTGATGTGACTCTCAGAATCTGGGGAACATTCTCAGCTTTAGGGGGTTCACTGCAGATCGTACACATCTCCTGCACAGCAGATAGTTTTAGTTAAATATATCTGTGTATGAAATCACTCCTTCCCAGCCTGGAAGCACACGTGTGTGTTGTGTGCAGTGCAGTGTGGGGTAAATAATTGAAGTCTGAGTTTACCAATTTATGTGCTGTTCTTTATAGGCCGATCAAATGAAGAGGAAGACACTTCGGAGTCTTTAGAAAAGCCAACTCGGTCTAAATACTGCTCAGAAACCTCTAGGGACACATCCTATAGTCCCAGCACCATGGACACTCAGAGTCTGGAATCCAAAGCTGAGAGAATAGCAAGATACAAAGCAGAAAGGAGACGGCAACTCGCGGAGAAATACGGGCTGACTCTGGAAGCGGACTCAGAGTACCCCTCTCGCTATTCCAAATCCCGGAAAGAGTCTGAGGTCCTTGAGAAAAGGGCAGGGAAAAGCGACAAACAAGAGGACTCGAGCAAAGATGGGAGTTCCCTATACTCCAGGACTGAGGCTACAGGCCCTCGCACCATCATTGTGGAATCCAAAGATTATGCTTTCCCTGGGTGTGAGACTGTGTCCAATAAAGAGATCTTGCTGAATGTGGAAAACCAAAGAAGAGCCCAGGAGTTGAGTGCCACTGGGCAGGCCCAAGACCTGCCCCCACTGGTGGAGAGTTCCTCGTCCTTCACATTCTCTGGGCAAGACTCTTCTTTTGGTGATGTGCCAAGGTCTCCCAAGCAAACACCTAAGCAGCCAGCCTCCCCCAGCCACTCTATCAGTGATGCCTCATCTCACACTGAGGCTCGATCCAGGTAAGTGTCCAGCCTGGCGCTTGGCCGCCTTCAGTGTAGAGGAATACTAGTGTTGACTTTGCCTGGATGCACTATAAACTGTGTTCTTGGCTTCACCAGAGGACTGGCTCACTGGAGAATGTCTATAACTTTAGAACCGTTCTACTGAAGCAGAAAAGCTTTCTGGTCTCTGTTAAAATAGCAAACTAAAACGGTCTCAAGCTTTAGGGTTGTTTTCACTAGATCTCTTATGTACCTGTCAACAACAGTGGTCCCTTCGTTTATTTATTTATTTATACTGGAAAATCAAGACTTGTGCTTTTTCCTTGATGGGTTTAGAATCACAATATAGAAAGACCACCACTAGTGAATGAAAGGGTATCAGTTTAGGGTACAGAAAAATGACTGAGATATACACTGAAGATGACTATAATGCTCTCAGTAAGCTGGGAATATAGCAATATTCAAGCATACATGCCAAAGATTAAGAGAATGCACCATGTAGTAGGATCTGCTAAAGACAAAAACAGCTTCCATATGGGGGGGGGGCCAGAAAAAGTTATATAAAAACAGAAAACCAGTTGCCAGAATAAAATATGTGTTGGTTTCTAATTTAAATGAAAGGAGTATGATAGCCATATTGAAATTGACTTCTAACATCCCCCTTAGGGGATGTGGGTAATTGTCTAGGTAGACTCCTAATTACATTTTTCAGTTCAATCAAGCAGAAGCTTTACAGATGGATAAAGAAAGATTGAAAAAAATAAGGTCAAGTACATTTATTCGGGGGGTGGGGTGGGAGTAGGGGGCAAAAGGGAGAGAGGGAGAGAGCTCTATTGGGAAATTCCTGTATTACTTGCACATTGAAACTGAGTTGGTATGCATGTGGTCATCTTTAAATAGCAGACATACATCTGAAACAGATCATTTTAGTTATTGTAGTTTGTTCTCGCCAAAGACCTCTCACCACTTGCTTGATCATCAGAACAAAATATTTCAAGAGATGGCTTCTAAGAAAATTAAAGAGTATAGATCCTGTGAATGTATTTGAAGGGCTTTGGTTCAGCCTTTCAACTAGAAATTTGGCAGCTATGACCTATTGTCTCATGTTATAAAATGAAAGTCTGCGGTTTGGGAAATTTGCATGTCATGGCAGAAACTATTTTTTTACTTAGTTATCTTCTATCTAATGTCTTCATAATATGCTCTATAATTAAGACAAAGAAATCGCAATAGATACCAGCTTGTTGTTGTTGTATGCCATCAAGTTGCCTGTAATAATAGCGATCCTTTGTACAGCAGCTCTGAAACTTGCCCTATTCTGAGCCAGGCTCACTGACTCTAACACACCTACCCTCATTACCTCAGTTACTGTATCAATCCATCTCATCCAGGGTCTTCCTCTCCTACGCTGTCCCTCCACCCTTCCAAGCATGATGTCCTTCTCCAAGGACTGGTCCCTACTGGCCTTGGCCTTGTTCCCAAAGTGTAAGACAGAGCTTCAAATTCCTACCCTCCAAGGAGAAACTTAGTTTCACCCTCTCCGAGACAGACTTACTTGTTTTCTTTGCAGTTCATGGTATGTTCAAGACTCTTTCTAGCACCACTCAAAGGCATCGCTTCTTCTTCTGTCATTCTTAGTCATTTATCCAGCTCTTTGATGCATAGCAAGTAATTGAGAAGACTGTGGACTGGATCAGGCTCACCTTAGTCTCTCGACTGACATCATTGTTTCCTTAGTACTCTGGAGAGGTCCCTGACAGCAGATTTCTCAGTGCAATACATCTTTTGATTTCCTGACTGCTGGTGCCAAGAGTGTTGGTTGTGATGCTGAACAAGCTGTAATCTTCTCAATCTTCTCTTCATCTATTATAGTGCTGCCAGTTGGCCCAGTGGTGAGAATCTTTCTCTTAATGCTGAGCTTCAATCCATACTGAAGACTGCAGTCCTTGACCTTCTGCAGCAAGTGCTTTAGGCCCTCCTCAGTTTTAGCAAGCAGTGTTGTGTCATCTGCATAAAGTACCAGCTTAGATCAAATTTTCAATTACATGAATGAAAAACATAAAAGACAAATTTTAATTTTTTAATTGCTTCTTATTGGTACTGAATGAGGAGCCCTGGTGGCACAGTGAGTTAGATATTGGACGATTAACAGAATGGTCATGGATTGGGCCTGCCCATTGTTCTGTAGGAGAAAGAGAAGATAGTTCTCACAAATGTTTGCAGACTCTCAAGCTCTATGGGAGAGTTCTACGCTGTCCTTTAGGAGTGCCATGAGTTAAAATTGACTTGATGGCAGTGGGCAAATCTTAGTTTACCTGCTGGAATATAAGAATCTACCACTGAACTGCTATTACCAGTGACCACAGCGTATTGAAAATGAAATTGTTATCAGTTGTGTCTAGGCTAGTCATGTAGATGCCATGTAATAGGTTCTCAGTACACTTTGTGTTACTAAACAAAAGGTCAGTGGTTCCAAGCTCACTGTAGGAGAAAAATAAGTCAATAGGTTTTTTAGTTAAGACTTGCAGCCTCAAAATCCAATGGAGGGTCACCATGGATCAGGTTCAACTCAGAGATGGTGAGTTAGGTTTGACCATAATAGTAATTGGAAGCCCTAGAGGTGCAGTAGTTAAGTGCTCAGCTTTCCCCAAAAGGAACTCAAACAATATTTGAAAGTAAAAATTATCAGTCTCAAAACTAGTGCTGCAGTGGTTAAAACATTTAATTGCTAATCCATAGGTTGGTGGTTCCTAATCGCCAGTTATGGCAGAAAGATGTGATATTTTGCTTCTAGAAAAGTTATAGCCTTAGACACCCAGGAGGGGAATTCTGTTCTGTCCTTTGCTGTTGCTGTTAATTAGCATGGACAGCATTGGATTTTTTTGATTTTAGTTTTTAATAATAATTAAAACTTTGATATAGCAACAATTAGAACAACATTTGTTCCAAGCAATTAAAATATTATTCTATATTCCAGATTAAAAATAAGATACTTTATGGTTTTGCACTCATAAAATCTCAAATTCAAAACTTTACATTACGTCAAAGTCTTAAAACCTCAGGGAGAGCATTGCTGATTTCCTTAGGTCTGTAACAATACGGAGCCACTTCTCTCTGAATTATTGTGAAGAGACACGGAAGTTTCCATAAGCCGAGCCAGAGCCTCCCAGTACTTTACTAACATGAAGAATGGCTTAGAAGACTTAGGAAAGTGTAAAAGACTTGTTAAGGAGGTGCTGTGTGCTTTCTTGATGCCATTCCAGGTGTACAATTCTTTGATTCATAAGCAATGAAATAAATAATCTCATACATTTTAGGAAAATACATAAAATATATTTACATGGAAAAAGAGAGGCTGGAAAATACTATGACAATAATAAGTGATGAGTCTGATTTGAGAGCGAGAGAACCTTTGTCTTGGCTACAATTGTTCAGCTTCTAAAGATGGATTTTTAAATGGATTAACCTTATGCAGTACATGCCCTTTATCTGGAGGCAGGAAATTCAAGTTTCAGTAAGTCATTGTGTAAAAACTAAATCCAAGAGAAGGCCAAGGAAAGAAAAAAAAAGGTATTGTCTGATTTTTCCATTTTGAAGAAGGTTAAAGTAAATACATACATAACTTTGTGACCTAATGTAACAAAAGAATACACTTCAGTGGCCTGGTATGGAAATATGAAACAGAAAAGTGTTTAAAGATTAAGTCAGGAATAAAAAAAACCCACCCTAGTGCAACAATGAATGAGTGGAAGCCCAAAATCTCTGTAAATGTTTATGAAAATTAATAAAATATAATTATAGAAAAAAAAAACCAAAACCCACCCTTTAATAACAAAATAATTTTACTTTAACACTTATACCTAGACTCTTTTCATCATTTAAGGTAATATTTCACCGTAATGTGTTCTCTCATCACTTAGTATTCTTGGATGAATCAATTAATAAACTCTCTCATTTTGTACTTACTAGAAAAAGACCAGTTTTTATTTACTAACTAAATATGAATATATCACATCCCCTTTCATGAATGTACACCCAATACTTGTGGTGTCCTACAAACCCAAGTATGAACCAGTAATCAAATTCTGTTTTCCATATACGCATGTACACAAACATACACACATGTATACATGCACAGAACAATCATCAGTCTGCCTGCTTCAATATATTTCACACTCTTGGAAACAGGAGTGGCAACATGTCTCTGAAAACTCTATGAACTCTGAGAAATGAAAGTTATTGAAAGACTTCAGGTCTTTTTTTTCAATAGGATTACTATAAGGTGTGCTCAACTTGATGGCAATCAACAACAACAACAATAACAGCATTATTATAAGCTAACTAATATTCGTTAGGGAAATACTTACCTGGAAAAATTATTCTACAAAACGTCAATGTTCAGTTTGTAAGATAAACAAGATTCTGTCTACTTATCTACATACCTTCTTGGCTGTAAATGTCTCAGGGTCCAGGAATTCAAGTTAACTGATTGTTCTGAAGCAAACTAAGAAGATAAATGAGAATATAACAAGAGCATCATATGACACCACTCAACCCTAAACTCTACTTCCTTAGTCCTGCTAATGCCCCATGGGTTTAGAATTTTAGAATGTAATATTGCTGTTGTTGTTAGGTGACATCAAGTTGTCTACTACTCCTATCAGCCATATGAACAACAGATCTGAATCTTGCCCTCCCCTGCACCATCTTACCATCTCCAGTATGCTCAAACCCATTGTTACAGTCACGCTGTCAGTCCATCTGGTTGAGTGTCTTTCTCTCTCTCTCTGACCCTTCACCTTTCCCAGGATGATATCCTTTTCCAAGCACTGGCCACTCAGATAATATACTCAAAATATATGAGCCCAAGTTTCACCATCCTTGCCTCTAAGGAACACTGATTATATACTAACGACTCGATGGCACATAACAACAACAACCTGTCTATAATTGTTAACCTTAGAAAAGTAACATGTTGTTGTTGTTGTTGTTATGTGCCATCGAGTCGTTTCCGACTC